AAACTTTATTAGTGCGTTGAAACACTGACCTCCCACCCACAAATTGTATCTTAATTGATCAATAAAGAAACAAGCAGGTTTACGTTTTTTGAAAAAAAAAAAGTGTATCTTAATTTTTCGACCCTTAATTTAATTTAGGTAATTAATTAATAGGGTAAATATTCTAAATTTAGTGTAAATAAATAGAAAAATAATTGTGAAGAGCTGGCGTATTGCTAGCTTGCTAGTTCAAATTTCAGTGCTATCTCTTATTGTTTTCTGTTTGATATAGGAGTCTGGGAGAGAGGGAGGGAATTTCTCTGCTGCCATTGCCAAGTTTATATTCTCTTTTTCATTCTTCTATTCCTCCATCCACTTATTCAAATCCACCTGGGAATGGAAAAAAGATTCCCATTCCAGTTCCACACACAAATCTCCAGTAATACCCTTCATCTTTTTATTTTTATTTTGGCTCACAAAATATGAAAACAATGTTGTATTAAATAATTTGTTTGTGGGGGAGAATTCTAGATAAACTAAAAAAACGGTGACTAATTAATAAGTAATTAATGGGAACGGCTACGGTGATAATTGTACAATAGTTAGCACCGTCCTAACCAAGGGAAAAACTACTACTAGTTTGAATTAGTAGTGATTTAGCTTAGATGTTGTATTGATTTCATAATAACTCGTAGTAATTTTTGCTAGTTATCACGGTGCTAACCCCTATAAGGGTTAGCACCTAATCTCATCCCGTAATTAATATGTATGTCCCCAAATTATTACTGGAACATGGGTCATGGGCATGGCATAAACCGATACTAGTTTTTTTTTTTCAAAAGATATCATGTATTGATCAAAAGATAGACAGTTACACTCTGGAAACCAGCCAGGACAGGAAATCAAAGAAGCGACTCATAGTCGGATACAAAAAAAAGGGCTTTCCTATCTACCAAATGAGCTACCCTATTGTTCTCCCGACCTACAAAACACACACTAAAACCAGACTGGGTACAAAAATAATGACCAATCTCCTCCAGAACAGCACCCAACCGGCTATCTCTCGTGTTGGCTTGGTTAATTTTGTCAATAATCATGACTTGGTTAATTTTGTCAATAATCATGGTTAATTTTGTCATATTCGGGTAATCAAGGAATATTAAGCTTTTCAATAGGACATAGGCCCATAAAAAAAGCTTATGAATAGAGAAATATGAACAATTGACGTGGAATAAGCAAGGAATGGTTGCCACTTGCCAATGTAGTATAGTACTACCAAGAGAATCCTTATATGCACAAAATCTGATAGAATGCACACAATCATTACTAAATATCAGGGTATTATAATGACTACCATTCATAAGTTAAAATAATTCATTCCATCTTTATTCATAAAAAAACAGCTTCTACCCCCTTCGTGTCATGAATTTTGAGTTTTATATGCAAATTATAGTTAGATACCTAATTATAATAGATATTAAAATTTAGTGTCTGGAATTAATTATTTTGGCATTTAAATACTAAAAATATTGGTGGAAATTTTAATATTAGTACCAAAAAAATTTATGTGTTACTTTCCTATGCCTAACTTTTAAATGTTGTAAATAGATACAATTTTATGAGGTTTCTAGTATTCTTTATGAGGTTTCTGATATGCTTTAAGAAACTTGTGATATGCTTTAATAAACTTGTGGTTTGCTTTATAAGGTTCATGCCTTGTTTATATGCTTTTATGATGTTTCTTGTATGCTTTATTAAACTTAAAGTATACTTGATGAGGTTTCTAATCTGCTTTAGAGAGTCTGTGGTCGATTTTATGAAGTTTCTGATATGCTTTTAACAAACTTTTTGCCTGCTTTATAAGGTTTTTGGTCCACCTAATAAAATTTGTGGTATCTTTGAGTTTTCTAGTTTGCTTTATGAATTTTGTGGTGTGTGTAAGGTTCTGGTATGCTTTATTGGGTCGTTTGGAAGTGGTATTTGTCAAACCTGTTATTTGTAACCAATTACCACGTAAGTACCATATGACACAATATCTGTTATTTGCTATGTGGTATGTGTATGAAATATCACGTTTAGATAAATTATAGGGTAATGTCTATTTTTTACCCAAATCTTTTTTGGATTCTTTTATATTATCCAAACCTATTAAAATGCTACTAATTAGCCCAATCTTTCGTAATGTATTAAAATATTAGCCATTTTTACATTTTCGTTAATAATTTTGTAACTCTTTTCTTTGTTAAAATATTAAAATTTTGGAATGTTGACCTTCATGTGTCTCTTCCAAGTCAGTATCATGTTGCCAAGTCACTATTACTAATAAAATCACTAACGGAAAGTTAACATTTGGTTAATTCTTAGTATTTTGATAGATTTGGCTAATATAAAAGAATCTGAAAAATGTTTGGATAAAAAACAGACATTACCCTAAATGATAAGTAGTGATATTATTGATATGTTGTTTACACTCATATTTGTTATTCTAGCAAACTATCATTCTCGACCCCAGTTTTTGCTAGTGTGTGCATGCTTGGTCAACATATATATGTTATAGTGTTTACACTAAAATATTTTCCCTCCCGAAATACTACTTGGGTGACCTAACATTACTTGGTCACCATGTGTCGAGTCCCAAGGTAACCATCCAACCTATAGGTGGATGGTATTGTCCAACATTATGTATACCATCCAACCTCTAATTGGATGGTACCATCCCATATAGTGGACACCATCCAACCTTTTACTGGATGATGATCATCCCACATTATGGATACCAACAAACCTCTAAATGGATGGTACCATCTCATATAGTGGATGGTGATCATCCCAGATCATGGATACCATCCAACCCTATAGTGGATGGTACCATCCCAAATATTATCAGGAGCGTAGCCAGGATTTCATTTATAGTGGGTCCATTTAGAAAAATTAATACACATGATAAAATAGCTTTTGTAAATTTTTTAATTATTCATGATGTAATTCCATTTATTTTTATAAACTAAAATACATTAGTAGTCGAAACTATCCAGAATATCACTCCCTACATACCAAAAAATCATTATAATCTTGTTAGTCATTCGCTTTCGAGTGGTGTTCTTTGTCAATAACTGTTTAGTATCAATAACTCAATTTGTTGAGAGAGGTTTAATAAGGAATCTTGTACCAAAAAATTATTCATGATTTAGTTATTCATTCACTTTCGAATTGTATGGTGACCAAAGGAATAATTGGATGGTGACCATCCCATATCATGGATGCCATCCAAAGTACTAGTTGGATGATACCATCCATATTGAAATAGGATGATGTGACGACGTGTCCAAAGACTTCTTGGCGACAACTGACTTGCGTAGTGGCTACGCAAAGCTACTTTTCGGGATTAGAAGAGAGAAAAAAGTTGGACAAATCTTGGCAACAAAACTTGAAGCAACGTCCTAGAGCAAGGCATACATAACACAATCCAACACAAAGACAACTTGTCTCAACTGTCCCTTTTTTCTTTTTCTCTGTAGTTTGCGGAGCTCTCCTCCGCGAAGATCCTCCATAGCAGTAGTCTTAATTGTAGTCGTGGAGATCTCAACGAATCTTCATAGGAGTAGTGTAAAGTAACATAGATTCCCCATACACCAAACACCCTCTTTCGACCATTGTTTGAAAATGTGTGGACCGTAGTAACAATCGTTTTCATCATAGAAGTCAGGCACAAACCATCCACCCGTTTTTACACCTAAAACATATAGTATTAATATGTATAGAGTTCTGTACGATGTTTTAACATAATAGTGTGTTAAAAGATGCAAATTAGTTATAACATATATTTAAAAAATGTATATGGTATTGGTAACACTCGTCTTAGAGCACATCTACGTGTATTCAAAGCCTTTAAGAGACGCTACAATCCTCTCTCTGGAATAATCAAATCATTTATAGCACCCCATTAATGCAATGCCGTAATTAGTTATTGGTTTGTTTTAGTTGTAATTGCGTTTGACCAACGTTACTCAACCTGTCAACCACACGTTAAAATACCCTCCTTTGAAATACGTTAATACGCTATTAATCAATTATAGCTGCACCCATCCTCGACGAACATTAATGCTTAACATCCAAAATTCAATTTTCAAATTAGAATCTTATTTTTATTTATTTATGTCTTTGGGATAAAATTGCTTAAATTCAAACTTCCAACCGTCTACAGTGGAAGGACCCAAAAAAGAAGAAAAATATATATATGGATGCTATACGTGCCAACTGGACTTCGGTATTTTATTCATGGGTAACCTTGGTCAGACATATATATATCTGACCAGATGTTGATGCATTCTTTTATTTAAATGCTGTACAATTATGAAGGAGAAGTCCCATGCAACGCGATTATCGCTAACTCGATGAAATTTCCTTAATACAAGTCTAGTTTTCAATAAAAACATGGTGTAGTTTAATATTATAAAATAACTAATATACATCAACTATTTATATTTTAAAAATAAATTTCTTTTGATGTATCCCACTAACTTTTCTGTTGAATATGTTAATTTTCGTAGTAAGGTAAAATACTGTCTAGAGTTCAAATCTTAACCATTATTTTTTTTTTAACATTTTATGAGTGTCCTTGACGGTTGACACCCTCGAATATCATGGCTCTGCCTATGCGTAGACCTACAACCATGGCATACACTAGACGTTAAGTATTACATTTCTTAATCGGCATTATCAATCGTATTATGTCCTATTAATTTAAGCTGAGCCTAACTCATTTTCAAAGTTTTAATTCAGGAGAGAAAAAAAAACTTCTGCAAAACACACGCAACTCGGCAACTGCACATACAGGTTGGGAAAAAGGCAAAACGGCAGAGTAGAATCTAAAATTGGGATCCAAATATTCTGTGGAACTTAAGGAAAAACAACTATAATACGAGAGAAGAAAGAAATTCAAACTCAGAAATACGTTAAGTAATACTGGTAATACACATTTGCTACTATACAGTACGATACAATTATACAATACCGTATAATAAAAATCTTGTCATTCATTAACTAAGAGGTGACAGTGAAGACGAGGAGAATTAAAGCGTTGTCAGAGGAAGATCTTCTCTCTCATCATGGAGGAGAAGAGGAGACAGAGAAAGGGCAAGATTGGAATTACGCATAAAAAAGGGCCGTGGCCGGTCATCAGCAGCAGGCAGGTACCCCCATTTATTATCCCGCCATGTCCCTTCCATCCCCATTTCCCAACCTTTCTCTCTCCTCTCTCCTTCTTCTTCTTCTTCATCCTCAACCAAACCCATTTTCTAGAGAGAGATACAAAAAACCACAGGCGAGAAACAAACGCCGGCAGAAAAGACAAACGCAAAAAAACAGAGAGGAAGAACAAATAGAGAGTGAAGCAGCCATGAAAGATAGAAGAATTTCGTCCTAGGCTCAAATCCCCAATCTTCCCCTTTCCCCCTCTCCTACGATTCAATCGCAGAGGGAAGGAAACTCTTGTCTTTTTTCGTTTATTTTCTCCATCAATGGCGACCGGTTGGGTAAAATCGCTACAATGCAAATCCAGAGCGTTCGATGACGTGTTCAGCCCAGCTCCGCGAAACCTCATCGCCAGCTCCAGCTGCCGGAAATCCGCTCAGAGCATCAAGGACGTCATCGACACCGCCGCCGCCGCCAAACACCACAACCACAACCACAAGCTCTCTAAACTACCTAAATCCCACCACCACCGGGATTACAAGCGGCAGAGACACCAGAAGCCGGACCCGGATCCGAGGCCCAAACTCGATTCAAAATCCAATTCGTTTCCTTCCCCTGCCTCTGCCCCGCCGCCGTCCCGACCGGGGCACAGACACAGCCACTCGGAACCGGCGGCGATCTTCCCGGCGCTGACGGAGCTGCCGGAGGGGCACCCGTCGAGGAACGTGGTGGAGATCATATTCCACACGAGCTGGAGCGACAAGTCGTTCGCGGGTCGGATCGAGATGATCTTCAAGGTCCAGAACGGGTCGCGGACCTCGACCCGGTTCGAGGAGTACCGGGAGCTGGTCAAGTCCCGGGCCGGGTTGTCGTCGGGTACCGGCGGCGGGACGTGGGAGGAGAACGCGAGGTGCGTGGCCGACGGGAACGAGATGATGAGGTTCTACTGCCTGGGCCCGGCCGGCGACGCGCGGGGAGGCGGCGCGTGGGTGTTCCCGGGAGTGAAGGGGTCGGCCATCTGCACGTTTTCAGGGAGCGGCGGGGCCCACGAGAGCGCCGGCGGAGGGAGGGGCAGGAGGGCGATGCTGGTCTGTCGGGTTGTGGCGGGTCGGGTTTCGAAGCGCGTCGGGTTCGAGCCGTTGCTGCCGGGGGAGGAGAAGCGGGTCGGGTTTGAGTCGGTGAGTGGGGACGACGGCGAGTTGCTGGTGTTTGATAGCCGTGCGGTGTTACCTTGCTTTCTTATCATCTATAAATTGTAAAAATAAATAAATAAAACACCATTAAGTAGGAAATTATTATTACTATTGTTATCATTATTGTCCTTTTTGCACTGTTTTTCCGTTTATCAACACAATTTTTTCTGTGTTGTTGTTTTCCGCTGATTTTGTGGACTGAATATTTTTTTTACTTGAGAAAATTGAGTCTATAAATGCTAATTAATCAACCTAACGTTGGTAATTTGTTTCATTTATTTAACGGATTCTTTTAATGCAAATTAACAACCTTTATTTGGCTACCATTGATCATTCTTTTTAACCCGGGTTAATTGTTAGGATTTTTCTTGTCATAACTCTACGATCAGTGAGCTCGAGGGTAAGATAGAAGAGGGCCATGCTATTTCGCTTGTTCTATTAAAAATAAATCGTTATTGTTCATAATGACACTTGCTAATATCATTATTGTTCAACAAAAACTCGTCTATGAAAATTATAGAAAAAACCATTAGGTTAATACCTTATTTTGGCCTGAACTATGATCATATAATCAATTTTGGCCCGTGGTTTCAGAAATTAACATCCTGACCTCAATTACGCAGCATATAGACTCAATTGACCTGACACATGGTTTGACCGTCATTTTGGATGGTCAACACCGTTGACTGTTAGTCAACACGCCATGTCATGGCCTCGTCATCCTAAAAATTATTAAAAAAATCAAATTCAAAATATTTTCCTAATTTCCATTATTCATCATTATCAAATTAATCAAAAATAAATTTAAAAATATAAAATAAAATTTATATTTTATTTTTTGGGATATTTGAAAATGATAAATTTTTATAAGCTAACCAAAAATTATCAAACTAAATTTTATAAATTTATAAAATATTTATTTCATTTTTGGGTAATGTTAAATATCTAAAATAATTTGATTATTTTTTGTTAATGTTAGATATATAAAAAATTTGATAATTTTTGGTTAATTTACAAAATTAATCATTTTCAAATTACACAAAAAAAATTTTATTTTTATGTTTTTATAAATGATTTTTTGTTAATTTGAAAATGATAAATAATAAAAATTAGCAAAATAATTTGAATTTGATTTTTTTAATAATTTTTAGGCTGACGAGGCAATGATATGCCGTGTTGACCATCCAAATTGACTGTCAAACCAAGTGTTAGGCCAATTGAGTCTATATGCTGCATAGTTGAGGCCATGATGTTAATTTCTAAAAGCACGGGTCAAAGTTGATTATATGGTCATAGTTCAGGCCAAAATAAGTTATTACCCAAAACCATTCAACTATTACCAAGTGGAAGGTCAGATTCATGGCGCAATATGTGAATTAGATGAGGTATAGTTGGTGTAAGGGCAATATGATGACGGTGAAGGTTGAATAAGGGGAGAAGAAAATGGAATGATAAAGCAATAATGATAGTGGTGATAGTCACCGTTAGATTTGCATTCCTTCTCTTTCTTTCTTTCTTTCTTTGTTTACCCTTTCGGTGTACTGGTTGGTAATTATGATAATCTTGGAAGCACAAAATCTTGGACATTGGCCGGCCATGATGGTCTTCTACTCATTCATTCAATATAATCCTCTTTTGACACATCTGCAATGATTCAACCACGACGATGCCATTCACCTTCTTCTTCTTCTTCTTCTTCTTCTTCTTCTTATAATCTTATGTACATAAGGTAATAAGGAACACCAAATGTAAGTATTTAATTAGGATGCCAGCACTAGCTATGACAATCGACAAGACAATACACCTCTCCAAGTAATAACCAACCTTTTGCAAACCGATTAATGATATATACCCGGGAGGGGTTACGGTGCTAATTGTACAATAGTTAGCACCGTCCTAATCAAGGGAAAAACTACTACTAGTTTAAATTAGTAGTGATTTAGCTTAGATGTTGTATTGATTTTATAACAATCCGTAGTGATTTCGTTATTTTTAGTAGAGTTTTTTGCTAGTTATCACGATGCTAACCTTTATAGGGGTTAGCACCTAATCCCATCCCTATATACCCACGTATCTCCTGACACCCAAAAGTAGTATCAAAATAGCCACTATATATATCGGCCCTTAAAATTTCTTATGCTTTGCATTTGCGTGGCTCCATAAATCCATATCTAATGAGAGCATTGAAATGTTTGCAGTATATGTTATGACTGATGCCTAGTGATGTAAGGATAAAGAGAAACATGAGCTTTTTGCCAGCCATGCCTGTGGATAGCTAGCTAGGGCTCATATCATATCATATGTACTAGATAATCCAAGCCAAGAACAGGGCAAATGGTGTATGCACAAAGAGGCAAAACCCCTATTCACGAGCAACCATCATCTACAAAACCCCCTATTCACGAGCACCCTATTCACGAGCAATACAAAACCCCCTATTCACGAGCACCTATTCACGAGCAACCATCGATGATGGTTGCTCGTGAATAGGGGGGTTTGCCTCTTTGTGTATACACCATTTGCCATGTTCTTGGCTTGGATTATCTAGAGACGTTACCCTTCGAAATTCAAGTTAGATAAGAAATTAGGAGAGAGTTTCTCCAATGAGTTTGTCTTGTGTATTAGTGAAGAGTGAAGTCTTATTTTATAATTATACGTAAGAGTATTAAATATTATGTCATGCGTGAACCGTGATGTATATTTAGTGCTAAGTCAGGTGGTATATGTGTTTATTTAAACATATTTCCATTTGCTATACATCTGGTGAAGTTGAAATTGTCCAGGGTCGTCATTGTCGGAGACACTGGTCTGATGGTGCTTGTTTACGTCTGGTAGTGCACTTGATCACTACAAGCTGGAGCGAGCAATTGGGCTTGGTTCCATTGATTCCTAGGGATACCTAGTGGTAGCCTCGTGTTTCGTTGGCGAAACTCGCGTGTTCAATGCGCACTGTATTCAAGTAAGCACAAACACAAAATCAGCAAAATCGTCAAATATCCGCCGCCGAAGTCGGCGCCGTTGATTTGATCGATTAAAGTAGAAACCAAGACGATCGTCAAATATCCGCCGCCGGTATCGGCGTCGTTGATTTGATCGATGCACCTTTGACCTCTAATCAAACAACCGTTACTCGGTTCACTACCTCTCCAAACTACGTTCGAACGAGGGTGTTCAACGAGAAACGAGAAACCAAACCGAGAGTATTCTAAGTTACGTTACCTCTACTCCTATGGAGGTTCCTCTGGAGAGCTCCGCAACTACGACTACGAGCTACGATCTACGACTCTGCAAAGGAGTTCTTTGACAGAGCGGTTCTACGAAACTAGAGAGAAAAAAGATAAATCTGCGTAGGTGCAGTTTGTGATTTGATTTTGCCGCCTTGAGTCTCTCTCTCTTCTCAATCTTTATACTTCGCGCTTCTCCCCTTCGTGGTAACTGCCTTGGCGCCTTTGTCTCCCACTTCTTCATTCCTGTCAACCGTGCAGGTAACTTCCTCCTTGTTGCGTGATAATCACGTGCCCTCGAAACCGCTCTTGCTTTGCAGAAACTTGGCGAAACGACTTACCACCTTGTCCATGTAACGATGACGTTTCACTAATACCACGACATCGCCTTTCACCAACCGATGCCGTTATATGATCCAACTCAACTGTCCCGAACCGGTTTAACCAACGACATTGTTAGTCCATCAAACAACGTCGTTCTATACTCTTGCGACGTCGTTAGGCTTGGCGGGCTGCCTTCGGCCGAACTCTTACCACTATCGCGATGTCGTTTTTAATTAAACAACATCGTTTTCTATTTCTGCGATGCTGTTGGACTTTGCGATGCCGCTTTAAATTTAACGTTGTCGTTTTAACAACTGCGGCATCGTTTGGCCCACTCGCGACATCGTCTTTAAATCCGCGGTGTCGTTCCTTCTTCTTGCGGCATCGTTTTTTCAACTAACGACACCGTGCTAAAAAGTCATTAAAAATATTAATTAACTAATCTGGCCATCACTAGTCCACGACCAACGACATCATTAGCGCCAAAACGGCTCTGTTTGTTTTTCCTTTTGCGACATTGTTTTTTATTAAACACTGTCGTTTGCTTGCGGTACCGTTGGGCTTCCTCGCGGTACTGTTTTTAATTCCGCGGCATCGTTTTAGCTCTCCGCGGCACCGTTTTAACTCCCTAACGGTGCCGCTTCTTCCAATCCAACAAGGAATAAAAATAATAATTAATTAGAGAAAACTCCTTCTCCAATACCCACGCGCGACCCTCTTGTTTTTCGGTAAGCGGTGTCGTTTGCAGTACCGCGGCACCACTGAGCTTCCTTGCGGTACCGTTTTAGTTCTCCGCGACGCCGCTCGACTCCCAACGATACCGTTTTTTACGCGCGGTATCGACTTAAATGCCGAGACTAATTAATGCGGCATTTAATTCTGGTCGAATTAATTTTAGGTGTCAACACCTCGAGAGTAGTTGTGATGGCATGGTGGATCCTTTCCTCATATAGTTCTTATCTCTTCGTGATACCATATAGTGGTATGAGTTGATTATCAAGAAATTGTGATAACCTCATGATCATATTGGTTGCAACAAGGTTTGTCAAGGACTAGTTTCGCTCGCTTGTTCTTATGCGATTCTGGTGGAGTCAAAACAATATGAACGGTAAGTCATGAATTTCAACATTCTACATTAATGTTCTCAGCAAGATAGTAGGCTAATCCGTTTCGTGGAGAGAAACAAAAAAATACTTCCTGTCACATGACACAACTGTTGTATTATCATCAATAGTAGGATTCGTTTGCATAGAACGTAATAGACTTTGTGTTTTTATTTTATTTTATTTAGAATCTTGATAAGAAGGCAAAAGATTCTATTTGAGTCTATCTTCATAGACATTGGTGACTCATCTTTTCTTTCTGTTGATCTGAATTCATTCAGCAACTCATTTCAAGAAAGGCCACAAGACAATCAAAAGAGGGAAGAATTGGAGGGAACATCATTAGCAAGGAGATGACACATCTCTACCAACTGATCGTTTGTTCGGTTTCATTTAGCCAAGGAACTATATTGAATTATGTTGGGCACAAGCTTTAGTGCTTTACCCAAATTTTAGTAGACAAGGGAAGTACAAAATGTGATCGAGAAGCAATTGCCATCCTATTTACAGACTTAATCGTTAAGACTCGACCCAATTTATCAATGGGCCACATACTCACTATTCAGTTCAAAAGAGAGAAATGAATGTACCAATTTTAGGAGTCACTAATAGTTCCTTGACAAGTAGTAGTAGTAGTTGGTTGTTTGTTGCATATTATTGACACGTTTTCATAATTAAACTCAAAAGAAAGGCTAATCATACTAGGATTCCCTTTTTTAGTGATAAAAGACACCAAACTGATTAGTGATTATGATAAATTCCTTGAGATCAACATAATCAGTTGGAATTGCATACCTCTACATCAAAGGTCGATTCAAATCATTGTTACTAATCCCCATTGCAGATTATTTGACTTTGACATAATGTGGATTAGGACATTTTTCGATAAAGACAGGACATGAATTTGTGGTTAGTGGTAACTCAATGACGGTGTGCAACAATCTGATTAACACAGGATGAATCATGCCGCGAATCGGTATTTGGATAAGACCAAATCGAATCAAATGAATTAAATACGACTATGTTTTGATTTTGATCCTTATTTTCCCTACATTTTTAGTTTGGTCCTATCTCGATTCAATTGGTTTTTGAACCAAATTAACCGATGACCACCCATATACTTAATTGAATTAAAATTGGCACAGATTCAATTTTTCCTTTTTATGGTCTAGTGGAAGTCAAATCAGACTGGAAAGCTCAGTCACGTGAGTAAGCAAATCTTGACCGCTTAACCATATACATAGAGAGAGTATGACATTTTGTAATTTACACGGTTAATCAGCTTCTTTTTCATTGAAATACCAACAGTAAATTAGTCTAATCATTTAGTCACTTGCAAAAGTGGTGCAACGATTTGGTCCGCAACCGACCAAAGTGGAACTAATTTTAATCTGTCATAATCGAACCAAATATGACGCTCATGAATTTTCTGCGTATTAAATAAATAATGGATCAAACTGGATCAAATGCACCGACAACCCAGTTATGATCTTAAATGTCCATTACTGTTGGACTACGATTATTATGGTTTGGTCCAATTCAATCTCGGACACCCAACCATTGTACACCCCTAGCCAATTGATCTGTCTGGTTGGGTTAATTGTCTTGTTTTCTTTGATTTTATAACCAATTATCTTGAAGATTGCTCAATATATGTTAGATTGAACTTAAAGAGGATTATCCTTTTTTTTGTATATCTAAAGAGGATTATACTTGAATGGTACTTCAAGAATCAAATCCACATGTACAAAGCCCATAAAGTGGGAAGGGAGTGGTGACTGGTGGGTATTGTTGAGGTGCAATGGTCATATATAGCAAGGGATGGTCGTTATCTTCCCATCCCATTTCTAACTTTTGGTGTGCCCTTCTGATAGGGAATTGAAGGGAAGGGAGAGGGAATGGAATGGGTGTAAAGTCGCCATCTTTCTGATAGAGGCTTCCCAATTGCAATGTTAGATGAGAAATTGGGTAATATCTAAAGTCATAACAAAAGCTCTAGCTAGGGATAATTAGGCTCATCTTTCCCACAAAGCTCACATGCAAGAGAAGGTTAGACATCTTCATGTCTACTCTTTTTCTATCTTAAAAGATTGTATTATGGTGGATATTGCAATTCTATTTTATTTTTACGACTTCATGAAAAGATCGATGGATGGTAGATGTGGATGCGCAATAGATAATTATTCATATTAGTATTTCAAGTAGTGAGGGTAGTGATGGAAATTTGAACCCGTCCCGCGGATATTACCCGAACTAATTCGCGATGGGGCGGGTATTACCCGACCCGGAGTAATATCTCAATTTCTTACGATATCTATAAATATTTCTCCTAATTTGACTTTTCTTCAACCAGCTAGAGTCGATCTTTCAATTTGTTAGACTCAATTACCCATTCTATTATCACTATTTTTCATTCATAAAATATTTTCCCCATCGTTTTATCGTAAAAAGTAAAATTTGCGTGTATTTTTTTCAAATAACATGTAAGAGTGGGTCGACCGGTCGTGCCCCGTACCCGCGTGGGTTTTACCTGACCCGACCCGCAGTAGCATGGAGCGGAGCATGAGTGTTGAGGTCGCCCCGCCCCATTGCAATCACTAGTGGGGGGGGGGGGGGGAATTAAAGGATTGCATTGGAACTAGGAAATTGATATTAGAGAATGGTATAAGATCCAACATAATTTTCTCCCAACAACTTGAGCTATTGGGGCCAACTCATTTATGATATGGTATCAGAGCTGGTTTGTCCGTGAGGTCACGTGTTCAAGTCCTCACGACACCCAATATTAACCGTTGTCTTTCAAGCACATGGTATGGCAGACATGTGCAAACTTCAAGCCCATGAGTCGGCTTTCGTTTGAGGGGGCGTGTAAGGAAGTGGTTAAGTACCATACAATAGCCTATATAAGATTCGGCATAACCTTCTCGCAACAACTCGAGTTATTGGGATCAATTGGTTCATGATATGGTATCAGAGCTGGTTTGACCAAGTGGTCGTGTGTTCGAATCTCCACGACCCCCAATATTAACAGTTAATTGAAAGCACAAGGTATGGTGATCGCCCGTGCAAATTTCAAGCCCACGGGTTGGCTTTCGTTTGAGGGGGTGTGCTAGAAAGTGGTATAAGATCCAACATAACCTTCTCCCACCAACTCGAGTTATTAGGACCTAATGGTTTATGATAATTGAGAGGGATAGCGGCTTTGCAAAGTCTTGAAATATTGTTTTTCTTTGAGTAATATTCTTGAATTTCTTTACACATTAATTGAGAAACAGGTGGGGTTGAGAAATGAGAAGGTCAATTATTGTATCTGATACTAATGGCAGGAAAATAAAGACATGGTGTATATAGGCGTTGGTTGGATCAAAGAATTTCTTAAATGGTGTAATTTGATTTAATTGTTTAACAATTGTCTTATTTTACAATTGCATCACAAAATGTATTATTTCGAAATACTTGAATCGTTCTTTATTATGAAAAATTACGGAGATTTGGTTCCATCAAACTACGGAATATTGGAAACAAGCTATAACACTTCCTACTAGAAATTATATCGAAACTCAAAATTAACTAAAGAAAACCATATCTAAAATATAATTGCATGCTAGTTGGAACATCAAAGATGGATTTGGGTGCTCATTTGGCTCCATCAACAAGGTTGCACAAAATAGATATATAAGAAAAAATACCAAAAAAGGCCTAAATGTGATGAAAGACCGTTTAATACTAAATCATACCCGAAGTGAAAAGTTAAATTTTCTGATTTTGTGGTCCATGATAAGGGAAAAGAGAACAAAAAACCTATTATCTCATAATTTTAATATCGCAGAAAGTGAAACTATGAATCATTTCATACAAAAGCCAAGAAAGAATGTCTGATTGCAATCTGAAATCTATTGCAAATTAACCCGTGAGAACAGACAATACTCTATCCACCAAACAATCCTGGACAAGGCTGATGTGTTGATGCCTAGGTTCATCTTCGATTTGTAGAAATATGATATGCTGTCCTTGTAGAGTAAAGAGCTGTAATGCTATTTTTCTTCAATATTGAAGTTGTTGGGTCCAACGGCAGACCTCCATTAGCCCCATATTTCGGCTACTAGGCCTTCTTAGACTTGGGCCAAAAATAGGCTTTGATCTGACCATGTAAGCGGCCTACAAAAGTCAATCTCAACAAATGTGAACTCTTAAAAAAAAGCCCTCCATAAGCACCTAGCAAATAGGAAATTCACCAAAGACTGAGAGACTGCAATTCAATTGTGAAGTTGATAGGGGGCATTATTATTCTTAGCAACCGGTTTTAATGTATTGATTTCAGGACAGATCTTTAGCTTTCAGATCAGCAACTACCCTTGAATGAAATCATCTTCTTCCTCTCCAATGACTGACTTGCAGATTCCAACCAATTAGGAACCGTAACTGACGCTAACTCGATTACAAACCTTGACTGCACTAATGGTTTCGGTTGCAAGTCATAATAGTAATCACACATCACCCTGCAATTGAACACCCACACAATCAGTGTAATGGTGCTGTAAGTGGCTGAAATGACTCCTCCCTTTGATGATTAAATTTCCTATATATATATGACTTGATGGATATGGATAAACAACGATTTATTTCACACATTTGTCTTCTGTAACTGACAAGGTGTTTCTATAATTGCTCACGATTTGGCATTACAGTTGTTTAACATAAATGAAATTTGGGCTTACGGAATCAAGAATGATTTTATATGATTCCTACAAATTCCATGCTTTTTATCAAACACATTATGAAGTTAAATTACGTGTCACAATCTAGTCTTACAAAATTGCACCGCTAATCAAGGCTAACAATGATGGTTGATGGAATTAAGAATACCAATGAAACTTCGACAACAGAGTGAGAAAATTCCTCTTGCGTGCATACTCAAGTGACCACAATTTCAATCATAAGCTCACTCACTTCATATCAATAATGTCTGCTGTTCTACTAGCTCACTAGCTTGGAAGCATTAACTTTTAACAGAAATAGCCACAATAATTTAAGCCCAAAATTCAACTAATCAAGTAGTGAACAATTCCCAGATTACTCATCTCACCAACAATATCCCCCTCAAGAATGTACACTTCCTTTCTTTCTTCCACACCACTCTCTGCTGCATCACTTCAGCCAAAATTCGCAACCAAACCCTCTAGAGATACTCCACAAGCACGTACAGCGGTTTACCATGTAATCGATCCCGCCCCTGCAAACATTCAGGAAGGATTTAGCGCACCCAGTTTCAGAGAAAGTGAGCACAAACAAAGTGTATCCATGGTATGGCAGCATATGACTCGCCTTCAACTCAGGCAGCTCGATAAGACATGCACACTCCACAACTTCTGCTCCTGCTCGTTCTGAGACGAAAAGATGCAAAATCAGCAAATCCATTTTCACCACATGCTTTTACAGATTCTTTGTACTCATTTAGACAGCTGAAGCATTCATTTGGAGGCCCAGCAATTGCAAGTTTAACACTGAAGCAACTTGTGGCAGAAGTTACCGAGTAAATTCATGGCAGCGCAAAGAGTGCCACCAGTAGCAATCAAATCATCAACTACCAGTGCACATTCGCCCTTATCGACAGCTCCAACGTGCATCTCAAGGCAGTCGCTTCCATATTCTAGCGTGTACTCCTCTGATATAACTTCACCTGTTCGTTCATTCAGACATGAACTTTGTTTCAAAGAAGACACAAAAGGGAGTGAACTTTGGTGATGAAACTGAGTTATAAATGAGTACCAGGGAGCTTTTTCGGCTTCCTTAAAGGAACAAACTTTGCACCGATGGCCAATGCAATGGGAGGTCCGAAAATAAACCCTCGAGCTTCTATTCCTGGAAGCAAAACCCATGACCACTTAATGAGATACAGTGACTAGTTATTAGTTATTACTCCTGAAGATTTTATACACCAACCAAGTTACAATTGAGCAGTGGCAAGTTATAAGCATATGAGACATTGAAGAAGAATTTTGAGATGCGAAGACAAGAGGTTCTGTACTGAAACAAACTAAATAGGCTTATCAACATCAAAATCAAAACGTCTGAGCTATTACAAACACCTTCTGCTATACACTGGAAGCGTTATGTAAGTCCAAGCATAGAAAACCCCAACTTGTTACAAAAAGATAACAGAATTTGTCTTGTAACCAGATGTGCTTTATATCAGCTGTATTGATTTGATCCTCACAAAAACTTTAACTTCCTGCTCAAAATCAAAATGTTGTGCTAGTGGTGATGTGTTTAGATAGAATCAACTTGGCAGACAATGCACCAAAAACATGCTCATATATTTTGTATTTTCTGCAGTACTTTATCAAGCAAACTTTCTTTGATGATATGAAATGAAACTTATAATTTGGAGAGAAGATTCTCCCCAATGATCAAAAAGCTGCATCACACAAACACAAGAAGACAACCATCAAAAGCAACACACACTAAGACAAAAGATCCAAGATAATGCTGGTAAGTGGTAACATATCCTTAAAGCTGTAACAAAAACAAAAACAAGTACTAAAGAAACAGCTAAGGCATAAGCCAAAAGGCTGAAACAGAGAATAACAATGTGACAGCAGGCTTAAATCACCAAACCATGATGAATGCATCCTTTCCCCCAAACAGTTGCAAGGTGAAGAAATAAGTACCACCAGCAACAAGAGGTACCAAAACAACAGCCTTGGGAGGGCTTAACAGAAACCAGCATCATTAAGGGTCCACCACCATTACCCCTTTTAAAACAAGGGTGGCATCCATCACCAACCACCATCCACCCAAATAAGATCTCTATAGCACATGCTCACAACAAAACAAATTAGTCAAAACAGGGAATGGGGCAAAGGAGAGGGGCCTCCTCCATCAATCAGCGCATGAGTTCATGGGACTCGTCCAATTCAATCAAGGTTTCAGATTCGAGGACTGTAACGAGGCAACAACCATTCTTCGTTGCAAGGACGAAGGAAGTTTCGGGCTTTATGATCTTATTCGACAAGAACTAGATTCTTGAGTGATTTGAAACAAAAGGGAGAGGTGCAGCTCAAAGGGTATCATGAAAAAAATACAAGAAAAACCTGAAGGAAGGAGTGACTGGCAGTCTGGCAATCAATGGCGCACTTAATATCAGACCTTAGTCAAACAAGTAATCAGCACAACAGTAGAATAGAAGAGGGAAACAAAAGAAAACCCAATAAACAAATGAACGGAAACACGATTAGATAATATATATAAATAAATTCTCTCATGGGTAGTTCGAAAGAAGGTTGTGCAGCAGTGGGCGAATTTCTGCCGTGTAGGCAAAAAAATCCGGGTCCCGCCACCAACACCATCATCATCACCCACTCAAGAACAGAGAAGGAAGAGGTTATGGAAAATACATATTGAAAAAGAAAAGCAAAAAGGATAAATAGTTTCAAGGATCAAATCATTAGCGGAAAAGAAGATACAGTGAGAGCCAAAATCAACAGCTTATTTGGATAGATAGATAGATTACCTGCAACGACGGAAATGTTTCTGCCCTTGTAACGCTCGACGAACAAATCAACAGTATCCTTGAACGCTTTTGGATCCAGAAGCAGAGTTGTTATGTCCTGAAACATAATACCTGTAGAAAGAATGACACCACGGTATTAGGCTACAATATAGAAAAATGGCCGCCTTTCATTTTTGATGGCCGTCCATTCGAAAAGCCACGAACTTTAACCAGTAAAAAGGCAGGGTATCACGGTTGCTCAACAGGGTAGATGAGGGACTACATAAAAATTAGAAAACCCAGAAAACAAGTTCTGCAGAAGAGACAGCAAGCACCGCCATGCGCAGAACTCGAAAAGAAAAGAAAAACGAACACAGTGGCTCAAACCTGGTTTGGGAAAATCGGGGACGACGCGAATCTTAGTTTTGATGCCATTGACACGAGGGTCTTCGTCTATAACAGCCGACATTGGTGAATAGAAATCTTGGCCTCCTGTGGTGAATAGGAACTCTGCCTTTGGGAAGTTACAGGGGCGATATATACAGAACTCCCTCGCTTACTGGCACTGAGTTCCTTCCTTTGGGAGACTGAGAGAGGCGAAGCAGGAGAAATAATGAAAAAGGCTTGACCTCAGAAGAAGAAAGAAAAACAGGAGAAGGGGGGAAGAGGTGAGGAGGAAATGGTTGAACACTTGAAGTCGAATAGGGAAACGGTAATGGAAGAGAAGGAAAGTGCCAAATGGGGAAAGGGGAGGGTGGGACTTAAACTTACAAAGTACAACGACAGCCCATTGGGGGAAGGAGAGATGAGTTTGTTTGAGGACTACAGTACATTGTTATATATTTTGTGTAGGGGTGGCATTTCGGTTTTCGGTTAGCGGCTAATCGGCGGTTATAATTGCTAATCGTCAATTAGCCACTAATCGAAAACCGGCCGGTTACTAGTCGCGGTCGGTGTTCGACAAACGTGAAGAGTTCTTCGGTCAGCCGAGTAACCGAAGGTGGTTAATCGGCTAACCGACCCCAACCGAAAATGTAGAAAAAGGACGAGGAATAAGAATCCAATTAACCTTCCCCTCCCCATCTGGTTCTATACGAACCCTAAATCCCAAAAACGATAAACCGCACAGCGCCGCGCCTCTGTCCCAGACCAGTCGGTCGCCCGCCTCCGCCTTCACGCTCGTCCACCACCGCGCTCGTCAGCCGTCGAGATCGTCCGCTGCCGCACTAGTCCGTCACCGAGATCGTCCGCTTCAGTCCTATCGTGCCGCGCGCAGGCGAGCGCCTCCTCTCCCAGCGCCTTCGTCGCCTCCGCCTCCGTCCTGTCGCGTCGTGTCACCATTCCCAGAGATTCAACAGAGCATGCGAGCGCCTCCTCTCCCCGCCTTCATCGCCTCCGCCTCCTTCCAGTCGACAGGTTCGTGTCGACCTCCATTCCCCTAGCGACTGCTGCTTGCTTCTTCCTGTTTAAAATTTAGAGATGTTTATGCGAGATAAGGAAGGAGAGATTGGGCAGATCTAAAATGGAGAAAAGGAAGGAGAGAGAAGCAGTTGTTGTGATGAAGACGGGGGAATGCTTTTGTTCCGTGGATTTTTTTATTAATTAAATGCCAACGTTTTGGAAAGAAGGGTAGATTTTTTGGTAGGCGGCTAACCGAGCCTAAAATCGAAACTGACCGTCAGTTGGCCGGCTAATCGTGGCTTTCCTCATGGTTAGTGGCGCGACAGTCATAGGGAGTGGCTCGGTTTAACCAATAACTAAGATTTTGGTTTTTGGTTAAACCGAAACCGGCCGACTGACACCCCTAATTTTGTGCGTCTGTCAAGGTTTTTAAACCGGATTAACTCATCAAATTAGTTTGTTAAGAGGTTTGAGATTTAATGGTCGGATCAGGGTTCAACCAGTTTTGACAGAAGACAACAAAGTATGACGACAATCTTTCCTTGCCACTCAACTGTCGAAGACTACAAGAATAAAGTATCATCTTAACTAAAGCATAAGGTATCTTGAGAAGAATCCCTAAATATGTATACTGTATAGCAAGATGTATTATTATTATTATTATTATTATTATTATCATCATTATCAAACATGCAGTATGCATCAGAGAACATAACAAATTTATAGAGAGAAACAGAAAAAACAAGTCCAATCAAGAATCAAGCGATCGACCAACTGAAATTCATTCATTCTATCCTCTCTCTTTAATTGGAACTCGTCGACGACCTGCTCCCTCGAAAAGCCGAGCTCGTCGAGGCTGATATACGACGAAGGGGAGAATAGGGGAGCGAAGGCGATGTATAAGGGAGATGTAACAACTGATGACTGAAATGTAAAGAATAGGAAGTGAGGGACTAAACTGTATTAATGATAGCGAAAGAGTGGGTTACAACTATCACTTGGAGAAGAGATACTTAATGGGTATCTGTTGTATTCTGTTGGATAAGAGAGAAGAATAACAAACTTTCCATCCCATTTTCTCTCCTATTCTTCTTTGTCTCTCTTCCCTTCTTCTGGGTAATCCCTGCTGAGTAGATCTTCCAGACTGTTACAACGTGGTATCCAGAGCCTTACTCGGCACCAATGGCGACGAATACTTCTCATTTAGCTCAGATCGACGAGCATTTGATGGATATGGATAAGCGTTCGGCCGCCATGGATTGTCGTTTGTGCTTCTTAAAGGTCACATCTCAGAAAATGGCGATCGAACGGAGGTTCTTCGTACTCAAGGCAAGGCGCACGATCTGTGATTCCAAGCGCTTACAACAAGGGCTGAAGGCCACTCGCAACAGCTGGCCAGAATCGTCACTCAGAATCATAATGTGGAATCGCGACCGGAGTGCTTCGAGACTCAAATTGGGAACTTGAATGGTCAAAGCACTCAATTGATCGGTCAAATGGCGTGGATGATGCATCTTCTGCAGAATTTCCAACAGTCAGGAGGTGTCGTTCCAGCGACGTGTGTCGTTCCTGCTTCGATTGGGAAAAATGTTAATCCTGGCATTCTTCCACTGCCTAGGGTTGAGGGTGGGGAGGCGGTGATTCCTCCTACTCAAGGCCGCGTTCCTGAGATAAATGTTGTTGAACGTGAGAAAATTCCTTTTCCTAGAGGTAATTACTATCAAAATCCCTCCCCTGGAATTTCCCTTCTTCCATGGCGATAACCCTAGGGATTGGATTAGGCGTTGTGAGAAGTTATTTCGTGTGTATAATGTTCCGACAGGGGAGTGGGTCGAAATTGCTTCTATTTTCTTAGAAAGGAAGGCAGATGTGTGGTTCAAAGGATGGTCCTCAATTCATCGCGACTAGCTATGGATTGACTTTGTGGCTGGCCTGCTTCATAGTTTTGAGGATGCTTCCATTGGGGGTATAATGGGTGAGTTCAATAAATTGAGGCAGTGTGGGTCTTTGGTCGAATACCATGAGTGTTTTGATGAGCTCCGCTCGCAAATGATGGCCTACAATCCTGCTTTCACAGAGGATTACTTCATTTCGAGTTTTATCAGTGGTTTGGAAGATAAATTACGACATGTGGTTACTATGGTGCAACCCCCAACTCTGTCGCAGGCTTATCAGATGGTTAAATTGGAAGAAGCTTCCAATGAGGCTCATCGGGAAATGGAGGAGTTTGACAAAACCATTTCCGTCTGTTATCAGTGGAGGAAAACCCTCTCCTACTCCTCCTTCTCCACCTCGAGGTGGGAAACAGAACTTCTAGCCTTCTACTTCCACTGGCAAGGGCAGTGTGGGGTAACAAAGGAGCCTGTTGGCAGTCACTAAATGGTGTCATTATCTTGAGGGCACGCCATTCATCACGAGAGCTTGAAACACTTACTTGGACAGAAGATCCATACTCACATTCAGAAGAAGGGGTTGGTTAAATTGTTGGGATTGGATTATGAAATCAAGTACAGGCAGGGCCGCTATAACAGGGTCGTTGATGCTTTATCAAGGCATCATGAGTTCACCAATGGAGGTTGTGAAACCATTACTACTATACTACCTTCATGGTTGACTGAGGTGGAATCCACCGATGAGAATGATGTGTGGATTAAGGATAGAATGGGGGAGGCTGCTGTACCAACTATTGGTTCTAAGATCAATGAGTTTTGACAGGGTTTATTGTATCACAAATCAGTTATCTACATTGGCACTACCGGGACCATGAGGCAGCAGATCTTGCAACTATTCCATGAATCTCCCATTGGGGGGTCATTCAGGTACCCAGGCTACATATCAACGCCTGAAATGCTACTTCTGGTGGCCTGGTGTGAAGAGGGAAGTGAAGAAGTGGATTTCAGAATGTGACATTTGCCAAAAATGTAACAGTGGGAATGTTCTTTATCCTGGCTTCCTTCAGCCATTGCCCATACCTGATTGTTCTTGTCAGCATATATCCATGGATTTCGTCGAAGGACTGCCAAAGTCAGGAGGTAAGGAGGTAATTTTGGTGGTGATTGATCGGTTTTCTAAGTATGGCCATTCTATGGGTCGAGTAGACCTTATACTGCCGCTTCAGTAGCTCAGGTGTTTATGAGGGAAGTGTTTAGACTCCATGGAATGCCCCGGACTATTGTGTCTGATAGGGATGCAATCTTCACCAGTACTTTTTGGACTACTATGTTTGAGCTCCAGGGCACTTAACTCCACTACTCCGCAGCTTATCACCCACAGACAGATTGGCAGACTAAGAGGTTAAATAGGTGCTTGGAGGACTATCTCAGATGCATGATCTTGACTGATTCCTCCTCCTGGTTGACCTGGTTACCTTTAGCATAATGGTGGTACAACACCAACTTTCATCATAGCTTGTAGATGACTCCTTTTGAGGCTCTCTATGGCTAACCACCCTCTCAATTTGCAGTCCAGAATGCCTTGTCCACTTTACTGGCAGTAGTAGCAGATAAACTCAAGGAGCCGCAGAAGTTGGTGGGCCTCTTAATACAAAACTTAGCAAGAGCTCAGAATCTTCAAAAGCAAATGGCAGACAAGCATAGAACAGAGAGGGTGTTCAAAAAAGGGGATTGGGTGTACTTGAAGCTCAGGCCATAAATTGCAACTTCCTGCTGGAGCTTCTATCCATTATGTGTTCCATGTGTCCCAGCTTAAGCAAGCCAGAGGTGCCAGGGTTCAAGTTCAGCGAACACTACCAGAAGTTGATGATGGAGGAACTCTCAAGCTGGAAGAAGGGCAGTAGCCCAAAACAATCAGGATGTGACTCAACTTTTGGTATAGTGGTCCCATCAACAGGAGGAAGATGCTACCTGGGCGTTTATTACCGATCTGAAGAAGAAATTTTCAGATTTGAGAGACTTGAGGACAAGTATGCTCTTAAGGGGTGGGAGTGGGACTTTGTAACAACTGAGGACTGAAATGTAAAGAATAGGAAGTGAGGGACTAACAACTGTCACTTGGAGAAGCGAGAAGGGATACTTAATGGGTATCCATTGTATTCTGTTGGATAAGAAAGAAGAATAACAAACTCTCTCTCTCTCTCTCTCTCTCTCTCTCTCTCTCTCTCTCTCTTGTTCTTCTTTGTCTTTCTTCCCTTCTATTCTGGGTAATCCCTGCTGCGTAGATCCAGACTGTTACAGGAGAGACGCCGCCGGTGTGGGAGGTGAGGCGTAGCCGGTGCGGGAGGTGAGGGCCATGAGAGCGTTGATCGCTGATGCTGCGACTGCTCTCGCTCGGCCATACCAAGCAGCTAGGGATAGCGAACGCTACTCTCCCCAAAAAAACGACAAAGTTTCACTTATAGCCGGAAGCTAGTTGATCCGGTCAGACCCCGACTTTGACCGGCTATAGGCTAGCT